TACACCATTTTCCCTGTCGTGATGGCTAGCAGTTGAAGACTGACTGGACAAGTATTTCCACAGCAAAATTATTTGGGTCAACATTCATATATGAGATGAAGTCTCATACATTACTTTCCCCAACTATTAACATTTAAGAGTGTAATAATATAAAAAAATGATTCTGCACAAATATTCAGTTTGTTCCATCTTTTTTTGGTAATTTTGGGAGGTGGCTTATGGCATGGTGTTGGACACTTTCTACCTCAATAATGTCAGCCTGACATTCTTCCCTACGTTTCCAAATCCTCCTCCACAGGTTTAACCTCTCTTTGATTACAGCTCATATTACACCATGAAAATCCAGTAGAGACTAGCTAATTTTCCAGTGACTTGCTTATGATTGAAAGTGGCCCTGAAACAGAATGCTGGATCTAAATACACACGACCTTTGAGAAATTTGTGTGTGAACTCTACGCAATTTAACAGCTCAGCCATATTCTTATCTGCAATGTAATCCTTCACGAGACTTCAGAAATACAGTAAAATTGCAGATGTGCATCTCAGGTAAGAATTCTCCATCCATAATACAGTAACCTGTAACTAAACCAGATAGGCATTTAGATTTTATTAAGATAGCTTTATCCAAAATACCATATAAAGGAAAAGTTATCAGAGGTTATAGATGGTGGGTGGAAGAGAGCAGTGAGTCATGCTCACCATGAGTAAAAGTGCTGAGCCTCTGAAAAGCATTGCTAACGTGTCTGTGAAAAAACAGCTCTCTTCCTCTCCACAACAGCATTTCTGAAATAAGACAACGGAGTATTCAAGTCGCAAAACCAATACTCATTGTTGCAACCTTGGGGGACAGGAGCAGGGAAGTTCCAAAGTTTTAAATTTTTTAACTAAAGAGCTGTTGGTAACATTTTTTAATGCAGAATAGTCAGCCGTCTAGATCATTCAGAACAATTTAATGGTCTTTCACCAACCCAAAGAGAAATAATAAAAAATAACTATTTTAATACGGAATATTACAGGCAACAATCTTCCTAGAACAATGGGAATCAATGATTTGGAACTTATCCTTTGCAATTGATGGGTGGACACTGTTCGGTGAGATATGTAGCAATTTCAAAGACAGTAAGTAAAAATCTCAGAATATGTTTGAGTCTCCACCTTTCAGGTAAGAAACATTTACTGTTTATTACACATCCACTGGAAAAAACTTGGCTACAAGGCAGTTCAAGCCAGCAGAATCAAAGGTGAAAGACAGAAGGTTTCATACTCAGAAACACACATCAAGAACTGCTTTTCAAATACTTCAAATCCTGATCTCACACACTACTTAACTTTGTGCACTAAGTAATCTCACTGAAGCCAAAAAGACTATACATAGTTTTAAAATGTTAAATACATACAAAATGTTTTACAGAGCCCCTTAAAAATTTAAAGAAGCAAGAGTAATAGTTGCAATGTGTGCAGAAGTCTTTCCTACAAAAGTGCCCTTGGAATTTCATTTATTTTGGTAAAATCCCCATCACCAAAACAAATTTAAAAAAAATAAATCTTTCTTTTATCAGGGCCAAGTTATGTATGATTCACAATGACTAACACTGTGTTTTGCCATGTGAATAGGCTGCTTTGTGCTCAAAGGGAGAAAAGGTAGTAAGAATCTTATACTTGATAAATTCACACTTCCCTAGTATTATGAGCATATGCAGGACAAATTACTTTACTTCACCAAAATACAAGGAAATTCCCAAGAAACAGGTGTGCATGGGGGAGAGCAGAGGAAGAAAAAAAAATTAGGTTTTATTCCAACAAAACATTTCTTGTCCTTATTTTCCTGTCTTTTTCTTCCTCCTTTGTTACCTTATAAGACATTCCACTAGAGCCAAAACAATGGGCTTAATTTTGGGGAGCACATTAAGGCAGCAAAGGAGGATGTATAAGAAACTATTTTATCCACAATAGAAGACTCTCAACCAAAGGGTGTGGGAAGACTTTGTCCAGAAAGTCTTTTCCCAACATTCCTTTCTCCCTTACAACATTCATCAATACAAGCAAAAAGTTTTTGAATAATCAAAATGTCTTTTCTAAGGAAATGGACTTGCCAGTAAAAATTCAGTCACTTCTACTTTTAAGTATACTCTTCTGCAGCTTTTTTTTTTTTTTTTTTCTTTTTAAAAAAAAAGAGAGGTTCTCTGCCTCACCTCCAGAAAGTTACAGCTAAGAACACAAAGCCAAAGCTAGGCAGGACTAAGGAGCTGTCGTTACCACTGTACCCTCCTTTTTCAGACCTACTTCCAAAGCAAAACCTGAGCTTCACTGAATTTATAAAGTCCCAAAGTCCACTGCAAGCCACGACAGCCCGACGCCAGCTGACAGCACCACTACACTAAGTCCACAGCATTAGTTTTACCCCATCCTTCTCTTCCCTTCCCCACACCCACAAATAACACTGCCTCCTAAATTAAGGCATCCACGAGAGACAGTAGATGGGAGCTCAGAGTATGATAACAGAGTTCCTATATAGCCCTTCCTAACTTCCTTTTAAACCTCCTGCCATACATTTTGGTTGCATACAAAGGTTGCAGAGGAGGCCGCAAATTTTAATCTCAGGAATTCAGACTGTAGTCCTGTACAGGTTAGAGGAGCACTAGAGAATACAGTCATTAGTTCATAAGATCTGTTAACTCTTTCACTATTATTAGTAATACTTATTGCAACAGAAGTTCCAAGGAGGAATTAGGTCCTACAGTGCTGGGCACTAACAACACACCCAAGAAAACACCTGCCCTTCCCCAAAGACCTCACAGAAATTATAACCACTGACAGGTACATGCAGCAAGCAGATAGACAAATGCTACATTGGAATAGCAAGTATCAGGCATGGCATAACTCTAGCAAGAGTTTTGTGAAAAAACAAAATAGGAATTTTCAGGAACAAGTAAAAGGAAGATGATAAAAAGCTTTACTGTACTAAGCATGCTGTTATCTTCGTTTCCATCCAGATTCCCCACTACTGCAGCATCAGTTGTTAGCAGCGATCCATCAATTCTGCAACTTGGATAGCTGCATAGCTAGTGTAACTCCTATACTTCAATACAATCATTCATTTCCCAACAGCTAAAGAATTAGTCACAATAACAGTTACATTTTTAAGTCTGCAGGAAGGCATTGTTGTTCTTTTCCATCTGCTCTCATAAGCTACACTAGGTTGGAGGTTAAAAGAGATGGAGAGAGGGAAGGACGGGGAGAGGGATTTCTTTTATACTGTATGGCTGCCACTATTAAAAACAAGACAGACAGAACATGCTATGGATCAAGGAAGACCTGGGAAGAGCAGGAACTCTGTTCATCAATGCTGGAGATCCCTCTGCTTAAGCAAGATAAAAATTCTTTTTCAAATATATCACCATTCTCTCTGAAACCATTTCCCTTCCTTTACAAATAAATTCAAAATAATATTTGACTCCCAGCTCACCTGGACCATATTCTATTTTAGCTTCTTCAACCATTAGCACGAGGTGAACATTTCATTATTTGCTCACACATTTTATCCCATCTATTAATCATCATCTGGCCACAAAGCCAAATTAAAACTGTGTTTGAAACAGGGTCCCTAGCCAAATAAGAAGGGTAGAACGAAGACACCCCTACCACACGTAAGAGCAGATGAAAATGTACCCCTGTCCTATTAAACAGAACTATTAGTAGACAAATTGCAAGAATCTGTAACCCAATAAAGTGACATTTATTTTCTGGATCATCATATCCCCCAACTACCTCAAAAAGGTTCTCTTTAGGACAGGTGGCTACTTTTCTCACACATGACTGTGCCTAAATTTGAGGAGCACTTGATCTGTCGCACCCTTACACAGCTTATGGGAGCAAAGCAGCCACCTTTCTCCACCTAGTCCCCTGATCAAAGGGTGCCAGTTCTAAATCAAAGTCTTGAGTACTTTCACAAGATGGACACCCTGCGTGGCACGTCCTCTGGGAGCCTGGGATTTATCCTCTTGAAGTTAGAATTGGGTCAGGTGACAGGACTGCTTAGACTGCAAGATCTTTGGGGTGAGAGTTGTTCTTCTGTTACACAGTTCATAGTCATACAGCAGAATCTGACTAAAAGTCCAAAGGAAGGAAAATTTGAGATAGTATCTTTCAATTACTGTCTAGCACTTTCCTGCTTTATAATACAAGATATTTAACAACAGCTGTCAATCATGGAGACTAATTAGGGAGAAAAAGAGCACTCAAATAAAAAGAACCGTGTCTGATGTGAAGGTATATTCAACTTCCAGAGACACTAAAACTATCCTATGACCAGTTTTCATTTTAGAATAATTTTTGCACAGATTCAGCTCCACAAACTGCAATGGAAATAATTGTGAACTGCACTGAGCTGGGCATGGAATTGGTCCCTAAGACTTTATTTTAAATAAATAATACTGTACCTCACTTTTCACAAGGACTAGTTTATCTGCAAATGCACTTCACCCGTACTGGTCACTTTAATCAAGATTTTAAAGGGGTTTTGTTAAACTGCTCAGCAAGTATTGTAGGATGCTTTTGGGAAGAAATACAGCTGCCATGTTTTACAGTGAAGTGACCATTTTAAACAAGATTTTACCAGATCCCTCTCACATGGCAAAGAAGTGTTTTTTTCCAATTCTCAAAAAAGTCAACAAATTTGTCAACAAAAACAGATTTCAAAGAATTATTAGAAGCATATTTCACAGTAACTAGAGCAATCATATTTATGTTCCAAAATGGAGTACAAGACCAATTAACCAATAGTTGTAGCAACATACTGTATCTGTGAATTACATTGCCCACAGGAACAACTGTGTTCAGGAATGCACAATGGAAGCAGGAGATAGGTTCAAGATGTTTTGAAGCAAGCTGAATTACAGACAGATGTACATAACAGCATGTCCAGTCAAAATGAATTAAAGCAGAAACATACATAAGAAAATAGATGAAGAAGACCAAATCATATGTTATAATTAACATACCTTGCAGTGACACCTGTGGCTTTCCAAGATAAGAAATCCGGAAGATCAAAGAAGTAGCCTGCCTTCTCCCAGCATGATTTTTGCAAGTTCTAACAAAAAAATTTTTAAAAATGCAGATATTAGAGGCCAGGCATGATCATGTCCTTATTCTAATGCAATTAAGGAACCTGCCAGTTATGTAAAAATGGCAATTCTTCCAAACCCAATGTTCTGATCATCCAGTCTGCTCTACTCACTTTACAGTGATTTACGGCCTGAAGAACTGAGCCTTTCGCCCACCACAGACTGATTGTAAGAAAAGAGTTTCCCATGAAGAGTTCATGGAGGCACATGTTTCAGATCACTAACGTGGGCTCTCTCAGTTCCCCGTCAGCTGCTCAATGTCAGAGCAGCCTCAAAGTCAACAGACAACTTTCAAAAAATATTTGCTTGAAGAATGCCCTACTTTCTAAAATAAACCATTTAAAATGTATTATTTTTTAACTATAAGTACAGGAAGAAAAGAAACAACTCTGTGAGCATAAGAACAAAACTTCCTAATCTATTTCAAAATGACTGAAATACTATCGAATCATAGAAGAACCTGTAAGCTTTCAGTGAAGCTTTTTTCCACAGCTGGGACATTAGGGGGCTCTCAATGCCCTGGATTAACCAGTAATAATCAGCTTTAAATCCACACTACAACCCTACAGTTGCCATCACAGCATGCACATGAATTCACATGAACAATTAACAGAAGTTCATCTTTGCAATCCCTGCCTCTCTGCAAAATTTCCTTGAAATGCATAATGATACACAAAGAAGTATGAATGCCTGCATTTCCATTTGAAAAGAGGTTGAACCTTTTTTCTTCAGCTGAGGCAATAACTGAAGACAGTTACAAAATAACTCTCCAATGATACCTGCAAGGTCTAGATAGCGACGTGACATTTCCAAACTCCTAAAAAAACCCCTTTTACCAAGATAGATCATTTACAGAGAGTTTCCAACACAATGCTCTGTGGAGAGCTAGTGGTCCAGAAAGCAAGAGGTTGGTCATATCACCTGGGCCAGGCCCTATTCTTTGTTTCTATCTCCAAAGCTCAGTCTGGTTTCAGCTTATGATAGCAATGCACATTCTTAAAATTACTTTTCCACGTAAACAATCTCCATGCTTGCCACAGGTATCAGACGATGATGAATGGGAAGAAAGTTTCCCCAAGCGTAACGTTTTATTCCAGTGTGACATAAAGAGTGAGCACCACTGTCCTGCAATACAGCTATACCATCCAATGGCCACCTCTGGCCTCAGTATGTTAAAATAACTAAAGAATATCAAAACCAAACAAAAGTCACAAGGTTCACAAATCAGACTTCCACAGAAAGATAAGATTGCTTTAAAAACTTTCACCAGCTTTTTAAATAATTGAAACAGTGTGAAATTGTCTCACTTAAGAGCAGCTGTTGCATTAGAAACACAAATCCTAGCTGGGGTATTTTGGGCGTGGAGCCCTGCTAGATGACACAGCTTCAGGAAGAACACAAATTAGGTCAACAGTTGCATCCAGCAGGCTAACGCAGAGCTGGAGAAATACTTCAAAAGTGCATGAGATGGGAAACTACATGGGTCTTCATCTCTACACAAGAAATTTGAGGGATGATTTATTTGCCTTCTTGTCTTTTAGTGTTCAGGTCCCACCTTTTTCATCTACTCTCCGTGTTGCAAGAGATTCCAGGAGCAGAGGATTTTTTAGAGAAGTACAAGTATTAAACACTAAGAGTCTCAATAGCATAAGCTTTGTCAACAGCAACTCCAAGTTGTCCTCCCTCCCCCCAAAAAAACCCCTGCAAGAATCTGTGGTACAAAGTTGAGCAGGAGGCCCAAGTATTTTAGCAAAGGGTCTAGCAGCTTTGTTATTATGCTTTTATTTTCAAAGCTTTTTTTTCAAATTATTCAGTAAATTGTCAATAACTAACATGACAATTTAAATCACTTGCATTTTAAAAGCTGCCATCAGTTTTCTGGAGTAAAAATTAATTACATGCAGTATCAAGAATGTACATGATGAATTAAAATAAAAGATAATTCAATTTTAAGAAATACTATTTGGCTCTGTAACTTAATTCAGATATTATGTGATTTCAAACCAAAATCTTACAAGTCCAGAAAGTTACTGAAATGGAATCTATGAACTCCAGAAATTAAGGTGCAACTGAGTAAGTACAAAAAAAGCAAAATTTTGTTCAGCTTTGGATCATGAAAAAAATCGGTCTTCTTTGAGTTTAGTTCTTCAAAAGCTTCTAAAATTTATGGGTTCCTATTGAGTTCAAAAAAGAAATGCTCTGATTACAACTTTTTAACATAAAATGCACAACCTTTGGATGCCTGTTCCTACTCACTCGGGTTTAGCTTACCTCCTAGACCGGTACTCACATCAAATTTAACTTTATATGTGAATGCAAAGGTGCTCCATAGTTTAGTACAAAGGTCATTCAGCCTGAATATTTTGATAATATAAGCCATTATGTATTGTGAACATACCTGAGTCTTCAAGAAGCAACAGGAGTAGTTTGGCTATTAGTTTTAATCAGAAAAGAAATTGGATTAAGAATAACTGTCCTCTTCAAACAAATCTGTTTCATCAAAGATACTCCTTGGATCCTTATTCTATTACTTCAAGAATTCCCCAAAGTCACATGTTAGTGACACTAAAATATGTTGTTTCATGAACATTTAAATGATTCATTCTTTGCCATCTTGATGCTTTGTCATCATCAATTAGTACAGACAAAAAAAATCATAGCATGCCCTGATGCTTTTTCCAAACAAATTTAAAAGTCTCCATGTTTTCGACACTCACTGAAGTTAATTCTAATTTATTTTCACTCACAGTCAGGAATTCGTGACCACATTAAAAGGATTGTGGAAAAGATCCGGGAACGTTCCCAATGCTGTATTCATATCCTGCGACTCACTCTCCAAACTCATTGTAAAGAAACTAATTCAGTCTTTCTGTTTTCCAGGGGTACTTATGGAGTCCCCTTTCTTCATCCCTCTCTCTGATTGTTTTGGGATTTTTTAACAACTATACCTTCAAACAATATTTTTTGAGATCCTTACAAATAATCCCAAATACCTGGGGGCAAAGAGTTTAAGAATGTCTTTTAATCTTCCTAGACAAGAAGGATCTAGGGGAGCAAGGGATGGGAGAACTGATATAGAGCGCATGAAAGGCCTCCATTGCCCATATATTCCTTGACAAGTCAAAAGATTATCATGAAGCCATACTGCACAATTTTGTATTGTTATGTGTATTTGTTCACTTCTTAATTGGACTGAAAATACACACACATGCAGAATTTCACGTGAGCTCCAGCAACCGATACAATTTTTTGGAGACACTTTGAGGCACATTCTCCTTGGGAAAGCTGCAAGAGCTTTCACATTCACATTTTACTGGTTTGCTGAGGTAGTCTGTTTCTGTAGAGGAAACCTTTGATTTCTACTCTTACTGGGTATGTAATTTTCTTGTAAAATGAAGTGATCTTCAGACACCTAATGTTTGTGAAAATGCATTTTTTTCCACTAGAAGGAAACTGTGCATATAAACACCAAGCTGTCCTCACTTTTGTTATTGCTAATACAGATTAAATATTAATCAAATTATCTTAAATGTCATTATAGACAGCCCTCGTATCATATCCCTGTTGGCCATGGGATTAACTAAAGATGGGCTAGAAGCAAGACATCTGATTTAGCACAGGTTATCAGTCTGAATTTCATGGCTACTTATCAGCCAAAACCTACAAAATCAAAAATCATCCAAAAATGGTGTGTTAGAAATCTAGATTAAAACCAGAAGGGACAGATGGAAGCAGAAAAATGTTTTACCCTTTAGTGTAAAAAAGAAAGCTGGCATGAGCATTCAAGTTGCCCATCAGGTCAAAATCTAAGTCATCTGAAAATTAGGAAAGAGACTGATTCACCGAAGAACTGTCTGCTTTTCCCAATTAGACCCCAAATTTGAATCTATTTGAACTATTACATGCAAGCTGTAATAGTAGGCTGTGCAGTGTATCAGTCTCTATTCTTCAAAATTACAGAAAACAAATATACATTGTGTGAAAGGAAGAAAGAGAACTGAAGACTTAATGCACATACTCATGGGGATATAAGAAACTGATGTCCCATGCCCTCCTCCAATTCAGACGAAGCAAGAACTTAGAACTTGGATCTCTGACACTTTAGATCAGATGCCAAGCCATGCGATAGAGCTATTCTGAGATACCCAAGATAGGCTCTGACCAGAAATCCTATCCTTGCCAGAGCCAAGGCTGCAAACTGATCAATTTTGCAACTACCAGCTGCACTAAATTAATTGGTAAAACATTAACTAACTGAATTATCAGATTCATCTTGAGATTGGAACTAGGGACGGGGGGAGATGGGGGACTTGGAAAGTAACCTCTTAGGGTGAGGCTACTGCTGAAGGTGGAGAAAACTGCCTTGCTGCAACACACCATCTCTACCACCAAGACACTGTCTTAGACACGTGCAGGCATTTTCAAATCCCTGAGGCACCCTGACCATAGCACCATAAGCCAGGTGAGCATCAGAGTCCAGGGCAGAAAGGGCTACAGAGGGAAAGACTAGGCACATGAAAGGCTGAGTTAGGAGAAGCTGTAACAAGGCAAGAAGGAAACCTATGTGCATGTTGTAAGCCTCACCACACTGCAATGGAGTAGAGAGAGATGGCTGGGAGACAAAGTAGGACATACTTAGAGGTGTAGGTGCTTCAGACCTCTCAGCTGTTAATCCTTCTTTTAAATTAGCAACTGCAACTAAAAGCCAAACTCAACAGTCCAAAGTACAACTTATGCATACATGCCTGTACTATGTATGGATTTTGATAATAGAGCTATTAAAGCATTTATAAACAATTCTAATCAAGAGTTCGGTTCCAAACCCAGTAGCTTGGACTCATTCTCATTTAACATGGAGTTGATTATTTATTTTAATGGCAAAATCTTACCAGTCACATTCAACTAAACAAAAAGCCAGCTGCAAAGGCAGCAAACAAGGGAGAAGACATGCATCAACGTAGAAGTT